TTCCTGACATAAAAATGGCATCTTAGGCCTGAGCCATTTTGTGACCTAAGCCTGACCACAACGCTCACCCTTGCAGAATAGGTCTCAGTCGTTAATGATTTTAAGAGGAATAAAGAATGTAAGAACAAACAGCTATTACCAGCCCAGAGAGATAACTTAACCATATCGGAGGCAATATATCAGTTACAAACACTCCCAGTTCTGTTTTGAAGGTAAAGAAAAAACTTTTAGCTTAAAGCACGTTCTTGAGCTGTTTTGCAAGATCCAAACCCCTTAAGCAATCAACCACCAGACGAACTGGAACCTAAGGAATGATGATGCTAACCTTTGCCGACCATCATGACTTCAATCAACTAGAGCTTGGACTCTGTCGACCCAATTCTATGCTGAATTCTCCTCTGCTCAAGCCCCTTCATGAACATGCATGCACTCTTAGCTTAAAATTTTCCCAATTTTGCTGTTCGGAGAGACACTGCTTTGGGAAAGATCCTTAGTTGCTGAAAGTAATAAATCCTTCCTTCTCCCACACTTTGGCTTGGTTGTGTCTTTTTTTAGACACCCCCTCAAGAGGCAAACCCAGTTTTCAAGTAACAAATGCACTTTCCAATGACACTTGAGCAGCTCCAAATATTAAAAACATACCAATCCAAAATGTAATTACTGTGAGAATAAGGTGTCTTTGAAAATTATTATGTTGATTTAAAATGTTACAAAAAGGTCCAGAAGACATGAAGCCCAGAGAAAGAGATTGGAAATCAAACTTCTGTTTGTTTGGCTGGTTGATTTTTGTATTTATTTTGGTTTGTTTTTTGGTATTTTTCCCAGGAAAGATGATACTCTAATTCTAAATGAGGGACTCGTGGTTTTAACTCTGATAGGTAAGAGTTGGAAGTCATCACTCCCATCCTTACAGGAAAAAGCAGGACAAACTAAAAATCAACTGCTTTTCTGGGACCTATCAGAGAACTGAGTCTGCAGGGAAAACTGCTACCCTGAAATCTGGAGAGACAGATGAATCCAGAAAGTCACGGCCGAGATCTGCTTCCCTGGAGGAGAAGACACTGGAGCCATGAACTGATAGGAACTCTTAAATGGTAATGTTAGGGGAACCACTGACTAAAACCGCCCACCCTGGTCAGGCACCACAGTAACCATCTGTATGAGTTGTCGTGCAACAGGAGGTCCTGGTAAGGAACTCAGAACTAACAAGCCACGTCCAACCGGAAGAATTCAGGAAAGGTCAAAAGGAGAGAGGAGATACCAGTCCTACCAACCTCCCAGAATCCTTCTCGCTGGAATCCATCTCAGCTGAGTGATGCACGCACCACCAGGAAGGACCCTGATTCAGAGTGATTGGCCAGAGACAACCTGGAAACTAACCCCATTACCATTAGGCTTCCCTGGTGGCGCAGTGGTCGAGAGTCCGCCTGCCGATGCAGGGGCCACGGGTTCGTGCCCCGGTCCGGGAAGATCCCACATGCCGCGGAGCGGCTGGGTCCATGAGCCATGGCCGCTGAGCCTGTGCTCCGCAACGGGAGAGGCCACAACGGTGAGAGGCCCGCGTACCGCAAAAAAAAAAAAAAAAAAAAAGTAAAGGGAGGGAGGGCTTCCCTGGTGGCGCAGTGGTTGGGAATCCGCCTGCCAATGCAGGGGGCACGGGTTCGAGCCCTGGTCCGGGAAGTTCCCACAAGCCGTGGAGCAGTGAGGCCCATGAGCCACAGCTACTGGGCCTGCTGCGCTCTAGAGCCCGCGAGCCACAACTACGGAAGCCTGCGTGCCTAGAGCCCATGCTCTGCAACGAGAGAAGCCACCGCAGTGAGAGGCCCGCGCACCACAGCAAAGAGTGGCCCCTGCTCACCACAACTGGAGAGAGCCTGCGCGCAGCAATGAAGACCCACTGCCGCCAAAAATAAATTAATTTAATTTAATTAATTAATTAAAGGAAAAAAGTAAAGGGATGGAGAAAGTTATACCACGTTAGCACTGATCAAAAGAAAGCTAGAGTAGCTATATTAATTTCAAACAAAGAATATTTCAGAACAAAGAAAACTGTCAGTAATAAAGGAAGACACTTCAAAATGATAAAGGAGTCGGTTCTCCAAGAAATGTGTTTGCACCTAAGAACAGAGTGTCAAAATACTTGAGGCCAAAACTGATAGAACTGAAAGGAGAAAAAGACGAACCCACAATTATAGTAGGAGGTTTCAAAACCTTCTGTCAGTAACTGATAGATCTAGCATGCAGAAAATCAATAAGGATAGAGTTGACTTGAAAAGCACTATCAATCAACTTGATCTGATTGATATATTTTTTAAACATCTTTATAGGAGTATAATTGCTTTACAATGGTGTGTTAGTTTCTGCTGTATAACAAAGTGAATCGGCTATACATATACATATATCCCCATATCTCCTCCCTCTTGCTTCTCCCTCCCACCCTCCCTATCCCACCCCTCTAGGTGGTCACAAAACACCAAGCTGATCTCCCCGTGCTGTGTGGCTGCTTCCCACTAGCTATCTATTTTACATTTGGTAGTGTATATATGTCCATGCCACTCTCTCACTTCATCCCAGCTTACCCTTCCCCCTCCCTGTGTCCTCAAGTCCGATCTGATTGATTTTTATAGAATACTCCGTCCAACAACAAAATACATATTCTTCTCAAGATCACCTGGAATGTTCAGCAAGATAGATCATAAAACACACCTTAACAACTTTAAAAGAAATCATAAAGTTTGAAATTCTAAATTAATAGTATTAGTTATTTGAACATAAATAGCCCTAGAATAAAGAAAATCAATTTATCATCCTATCACATTTTAATGGACACAGTCCCTAAAGAATATCTATTTTTCTTTACTTATATTGTTTGCTCAACAATACAATTTCTGATATCCTCTGCCTGGCTAACACCTACTTATGCTTAATCCAAACTTAAAGGTTAAAAACTTTAATATGGTACAATAAAAGCATAAGCAAAGTTAATCATTAGAAAACAATCCACAGAAAATGATGAAATATTTATGACATAAAAGATTAATGTCCTTAATATATAAAGAGATTTTAAAATCAATATAAAAAGATGAGCACATTTATTCTTGACTCTTAATCCATTCTCTACACAATAGCCAGAGTAGTATCTTTAAAACTCAAATCTGGCCACGTCACTTCCCTATTTAAAGTCCTTCCATGGTTTGAATTGCTTAGAATAAAGTCCAAAACCTGGCCCACAGATATGGTCCTTACCTCTCTAGACTTGTCTCCCATCATTTTTCTCCCTTCCTTTTCTGGACTCCAGCCAGACTGGCTTTTTTTTTTTTCAGCTCCTGACCACCGTGAAGTTTTTTCACATGCTGATCAATGTGCCTAGAGATACACCACCACTTCCTTCACCTGACAGATGCCCACTCTTCCTCTAGATCTCAGCTTAAACATCATTTCTCAGGGAAGTCTTCCATCATCAACTCCAGATCAGTCCAGATCCTCCATTATGTGCTCTTCATAAGCCTTGAGCAAACAGATGAAATCATGTTTATGAACCTTCAGCACTCAGAACCAGACCCCAAGAAGTGGTGACCCTTCCCAGGAATGTAAAGTTCAGGGCTAAGCAGCTGTTGGCTTCTGGAACCTTCTTAACTACAGTAGTCATGGATGGTGAGGAAGCTCAGGGAAAAGTTATGATGAGAGTTTCTTTTAAGCTGTTGACCCTTAAATTTTTTTTGAATAGACAACTTTGAAAACATAACGAAATCTATGAGACTTCTCTCCATAAAAATCCACATAAGCAAAACTTTTCATAACATTGTTCCATCAAACAATGTTTCACAGTTCACCTAAAGTCCATCTGTTCACCTCAGGTTAAGAACCCCAACCACAGGACTACTGAGAATCTCATACATACAAACACAGTTTCCCTGGCTTTGTTCATTTAACTAATACTTATTGAGTACCTATAGTATAGAGATTCCAGTAATACTAACACCTGGTAAGTGAAAGTTATTTTACAGTTTAAAAAGAAAGTAAGATGTTCACATAATTGTCTCATTTACTCCTCACAAAAACCCAATGAGGTAGGCACACATAGCTCTACCTATTTTACAGATGAGAAAATGTTAGCGATCCCAGAGAACTTAAGTGATTTGGTTAAAGCGACCCAGCCAGAAAGGGAATTGAAGCCCAGAAGTAAATGCACCCTTTTAAACTTAGGCCTGGCCCTTTCCCTCCATATTAATATTGACTCTAGAGGCCAGTGGTGATAGGACTTGTGTCTAATGAGGTAGCTGCCTGCTGAATGCCAAGGTCATCATATTAGGAAAACCTCTGAGACCACAGTCTCAGCTCCCAGTTCCCATGGGGTCATCTTCATGCTCACCTTTCCCGGTGGTAACACAACTCGGCACAGTGGTGGTCCCAACAGCAGGACTCTCCTGGTGTTTAGGGGACGTAGACAGAGCTCCCATCCCCTTGCCCAGAGAGCACAACGGCTAACATTTTTTTGAGTTCCTAATATACGTCAGGCACCGTACTAGGCTCTTTACATAAATAAACTCATTAAATCCTCAGAACAACACCATGGTGGAGGTACTCTTATTATTTCCATTTTGTGGACACTTAGGGGAGGTTAAGTAACTTGCCCAAGGTTACACAACTTGTAATTTTCAGAGCCATGATTTGAATTCTGGAGTCTGTGCTCTTAACCAAACAACCCTTCTCCCTTTCCCAAGACAATTGTTCTTAACTTTGGGGGGGGGCATATGCATCCTAGAGAGTGTAATTTAAGCTCTGGACCCTCCCTCTAGGAAAATGCAGTTAAGCAAGATTTTGAAAAATATTTCAGAAACGTCAGGGACCCCTCTGGGTGATCATCTGTCGACCTCATATCATACATACTGGAGGGAACTGTCCAGAGACCAAAAGAGAAGGGGCTCCAGCGCCGCAGGGCTTTGCCTCTGCAACCGCGGGAGGAGAGTTGAGCGGCGTGGTGTGACGGGCATGCTCGGTCACTAAGAATCAGGGACGGTGAGCTCCCGGGGCCGCAATACCCTGAGAACGCAGCTGGGTCGCTGAGCCTCCGGAATCCGGTAGCTGAATGAGATACGCACGGGTCACCGGCTAGATTGAAATCTTGCGTCCCTCCCAGCATCCTGGAGTCACGAGACAGGGGACTAGGACAGAACTCTGGTCCCAGGCGCGCAGGGACTGTATCGCTGTTCCTGGTGCTGAAACGCCGCGGTTGCCGAGGGCAGCAGCCGCCTGCTCTCAGGGTACCGCGCCGCAGCGGCTGCGGGAGCTGTCCAGTGCTGAACCGGATGCGGCCCGGTCCGCGGGGCTTAGACCCGAGCCGGCTGCACCCCGCAGAGCCCGGACAGAGCTTCTGGGAGCACTGACTGCAGAGCGCTGGGAGAGTGGGGAGCAGCGGGCTCCAAGCCAGGCATGGATCTGCAGAGACTCGACTCCTACCAGGGGGGAGCTGGCCCTGACTTCCATGAGCACGTCCTGTATAAGGTAAGGATCTCTAGTCCCCCGCCCCCATCTCAATCCTGGGAGAGGGTGCCGTCACCAGTTCTCTCCGTTCCCCTCGCTTTGCTTTGGAACTTAAAGAGAAACTAGCCTGTATCTGTGAGCCTAGAGAACGCTTTCTGCGTGATCCTGTTTGCTGCTCAAAACAGATGCTTGAACGCGGGGGAGGGGCCGCCCCCAGTGGTTCAGAAGATCAGGAGCTTGGTTCATGCATTTAAATCACCTGTGTCCCTTTCTCACTCACTCTTCCTGCCTCTCAGTCCTGTGAACCTCGAGCACCTTTGCCCTCCGTTAACCCTTGTGGGAGGCTACATTTGTCCTCCCACCCTTACCTCACAAGCTCCGGACCCGGTAAGTCTGGTAGCTGCGGTCAAATATCTGAATTCCTGGCCAACTTGGCTGAGATTAAACATAGAAATGATCTGCAGCAGAAATAAACTGTTGTTTTCAATCCAGATTCCCTTGTGCCTCCAGAAAGCTGCCCTCCAGCCATGACTCACTCATAACCTCCTGAAAGTGTTTGCGTATTTCATTGCTTGCGCTCATCCCTCGCTTCCCTCATTCAAGTTTTTTTAGACAACTAAGTTATCAGTAACATGACTAGATTATAACTAAATTATCAAAAACATCCTCTTGAAGTGATGGTTGGGGAAAAGTAGCAGCTTCTCTCTAGGCAGCACTTATGGATCCAACATCCATCACTCTGAAGCATCAGAACCTTATATTTGCCATAAGAAGTCTTTATTGTACCTCATCCCTTTCTCTGCCCTCCTCATTCAGCCCTTATATTTCCCACTTTGCTAATACCGGTTTATCTATTAGTCCCCTGAAAGGCTGTACATGGTCCTATAAGTGGAGATGTTTTAAAATCAAAGTATCCCTCTGAAAATTCCATGAATGTAAGCTTCGAAGTCATTGCATGCACTTTGGTCCCCTATTATACAGTTGACATTTGAGGAAACTCAAATCCGGAGAGGCAAAGTGACTTGTTCAAGAAAACAAGGCCAGGGATTATGATTCAAAGCGTAATATTCCTTTCCCTCTACAAGTTTGGTCCATAGTCCAGCAGCGTTGACATTACCTCAGAGCTTGTTAGAAATGTGACATCTCAAGCTCCACCCCAGACCTGATGAATCTGAATCTGTGTTTTAACACGATCCCTGGAAAATAAATATGCACATTAAAGTTTCAGAAACACAGCCGTGTGCCACACTGGCTATTTCTGACACAAATTGCAGAAAACCAACTACTAAGGGAGGTGGGCTATAGATTTGAAGAGCCCAGTGACTTCTCCCTCCAGGTCCCTAAGCCCCTAGGGTATAGAGAAGGAGAAAAGTGTGTGACTTCCCCAGTCAGGAAGTTTAAAAACCACTACAGTTTGAAGTAAACTAGAATAAGATCTGTGTTCTTTGAGGTGGTGAATCTAGCCTCAGTAGAAAATGCATGCAAACGAAAGGGAACATAATTACAAATCAATTACAAAAGCATCCTGGTGACTAGATACATGGGTCTCTCCAAGTTTAAACCATCTTATAAAGATATAAATATTCATTTTAAAAGCTTTAAGATTTGGTGGTCAAAGATTTAAAATTATTGATCAAGTGTGGTCTTTCCCACCTCAATTACCCACGCATGAAATGCAGGATGTAGCCCATGAGAACTTTCACTTCCTTTGGGTTTATTGATTACCAAATTGGAAGAGAGCCTTTTCCTACGAGTTCCAGTATATTTGAAGACAGGTGTCTACCCACCACTAGTAAATACTCGATATCTTCAGCTTGGTTGTAAGCATCTTGAGAGCAGAAGCTGGCCTTAAACCTTCTGTGATGCTCAACAGAGTAACATATGTGTAGCAATTTTCCTTTTCCTATAATACTGGTCACCTCGTCCTAATATTATTTTAATTTTGTACATGACTTTTTATTATGATACGCTTAGAAACCTTTTTGTAAAGGGGTAAGGTATCAACATATTTGTATTTTTAAAATTAATTTATTTTGTTTATTTATTTTTGGCTGTGTTGGGTCTTCGTCGCTGCACGCAGGCTTTCTCTAGTTGTGGCGAGCGGGGGCTACTCTTTGCTGCGGTGCGTGGGCTTCTCATTGTGGTGGCTTCTCTTGTTGTGGAGCACGGGCTCTAGGTGCGTGGGCTTCAGTAGTTGTGGCGCGCGGGCTTCAGTAGCTGTGGCTCACGGGCTCTAGAGCACAGGCTCAGTAGTTGTGGTGCACGGCCCCAGATGCTCCGCGGCTCGTGGGATCTTCCCGGACCAGAACTCGAACCCGTGTCCCCTGAATTGGCAAACAGATTCTCAACCACTCTGCCACCAGGGAAGCCCCTGGAGGGGACATTAGTCTTAAGGTTAAACATTCCCCATGAGTCAGGTATACATTATAATGCTTACTGTATACATTTCACTTGATAAAGCTAATTACATCACATTATTTGTGAATATCCAAATTTTAAAAAGTCTTAAAATTAAAATGGCAGTGTGATACAACCAGCATATAATATTGGTCCCCACAGAGTCTGATGCCTTATTCCTTGTTTTCCTTCTTTCTTTTATCTTCCCACTGAATCAAAGACTCAAGTTACCTAGATTTCCATCTGATAGTCTGATTAAATTAATTGAAACTCATATTTGAATTAATGATAGATCAATAATCTTACTAATTTTCCCAAAACTATAAAAGATCTCCAGTTGACAGAGTAGGAAATGATGATTTTCCTGGCATAACTCCAGGCATTCTTCTTAATCCATAAAATGGCAGGCATGTCCTTCTCCTTCCTTCCATATATATCGAGTAAACCTGCTAGCGTTGGAGGGTCTTCTGCAGAGGCGGGGGGTGGCCGTGGCTCACCGTGAGGACAAGGACACTGGCAGCAGAAGTTCTGGACATATTTGTATTATTTTTAAATGTGCTGTGTAATAGAGTCCAGGGAATCCTGATGATTAATTAGAACATATTGACCATGGGAGGCAGGGCTCCCCTCCAACATTAGTTGCTAGGAAGGATTTTTTAATTAAACATTTTATTGAAGTATAACAAACACAAGAAAAGCCCAAATCATATGTGTATACCCTGATGGGGTATAACCTGATGGGTTATCACAGAGAGAGCCGCTCTGTGCAACCACTATCAAAATAAAGGAAGACCCTTACCAGCTTCCCAGAAACCACACCCCACATACCCCCTTCCACACACACTTCCTATTCTCCTCCCCAGGGGTCACCTTTATAGAGGGGGAAGTGTTATTTAATGTTTTGACAGGGCTATCAGATTTTATGTAGGATCGTCTTAGAAACCTGCCAGGAAACCCCCATTGCTGTATGATGGAGAGAAACCCCAGGCTTGGAATCAGACCTTGATGTGACTTTGAATGGCATCTGTGAGCCTTTCTTTTCTTATCTATAAAATAGGAATAGTAATACCTGGCTTATTGGGGTTTTTTGAGTGAAAATGTTAGATAACATAATGTAATTTCTTTCTTTCTTTCTTTCTTTCTTTCTTTCTTGGGTGTATAGGAAACATTCAATAAATGGTTGTTATTAGGACACACATCTTGAGCTCCAGCACAACTTCAATAGGTGTCACATTGGGTCTCACCTAAAATAATGAAGCTTTGTGAGAAGAGCAGCAAATTCATATGCAGAAACACACACATATTTCACAGGCACGATCCCATGGGATTAAGCTCACACACCCACCTACACAAAAATCGTGACTGTGTGAACCTTGCAACCCTGAGTTCCTAAGTTGAATAGCTCTTTTCTCTGGGAGGTGAGATATGGGGTGCAATGAAAAAATTCACTTATCTGGAAAACATACACCAAGTATCATCAACCTTGGATGGCACTTGCACTTTAGCTCATCCCGAGAGGTGGAGGCTGACCCAAATGAGCCTGAGTAACTCTTAGAATATCCTCTGAGTGTGGGCTGGAAGCTGGGAACTGTCTGGAAACACTGAGTCCATCCATGACATGCTTGGAGTTTTTAAATAGAGTCGCTGATGTTCTCACCAATCTGAATATTTGATGCAACTAAATAATTTAAAACATGTGAACAACCTTGCTGCTCTTTCCCTTAGAGTACTCCCAGCCCTCTTTCGCTGCCAGTACAATCTCATGAGCCATCGAAGGCAATGATGTGAGTTAGGGGCTCAGAAACACTCCATGGTGGGTTCTTGCTGTGTCAGGCCCTGACTGTGAATTCTGAGCAAATGAAGTACAGAATGGGGGCAGCTTTTGCCCCAGATGCTAGTGAATCAGGACAAAGTGAGTTCAATAGCTCACTTCCTGGACTTCCCTGGCGGTCCAGTGGTTAAGACTTGGCGCTTTCACTGCAGGAGACACAGGTGCAATCCCTGGTCAGGGAACTAAGATCCCGCAGGCCACGTGGTGCAGGCTCCCACCCCCGCAAAAAAAAAAAGGAGCTCACAACCTAACTCATCCTCCCCAGTGCTGTGATGAACACCCTCATGCTAATCTTGTTCCAAGAGGAGCAAATAATTACTAAGTTAAAGTCAGTCTCTTCTATTGAAACTCAGAAAAACCAGCAACCAGGGGGCATAAATGCGTGGATGGTCCATCCATTCATCCAGGGCTTGGGCCTCACTGGAAAAAAAATGGAATCATTAGAGAGATAAGGATGAAAGTTCTCTGTCCTACAAGGATTCCCATGTCCTCTAACACTGCTCCAACACCTCTTCTAGGTGAGTGGAAAAGGTAAGCAGGTCACCTCCACTCCTCGCCCACCTCTCTTGTGCTTGTGTTTCATGTCCCTCTTCTACGGCTCATCTTGTGTGTCTACCTCTTTCAATAGTCCACGTGCCTCATCTAGTCATTCAGCAAACGTGTACTGAGCATTTTCAAAGGATAAGAAACTATGCTGAGCATTATAAAGAACACACACACACACACGCACACGCACACGCACACCCCAAGAAAGTAGTTCCCACCTTCAGTAAGCTCATGGCCTGTAAAACAT